CGGGAACGTTGCGACACCTATGTGGAAGTTAGCATTTTTGGAGGAATTTCATAAGTTTGGGTTGAAGTGCATTTCAATGTTATCAATGTCCGTTTGGGATTCCGAGTCTGGGAAAAGCTCCGTATGGTGATTCTGGTATTGGAAGCGCGATCGGAAGTGAATTCGGAGGTCTGTAGGTCATTTTGGAGTCATTTGGCTAAAGATAGAAATTTGAAGGTTTTTCAGAAGTTTGACCAGAAGTGGACTTTTTGATATCAGGGTCGGATTCCGATTCCGGACGTGATTTGATAGGTTTAAACATAGAAAGTGGAAGTTTGAAATTTTAAAGTTCATAAATCTCGAATTGGGGTGTGATACGTGATTTCGGCGTTGTTTGATGTGATGTGAGGCCTCGAGTAGGTCCGTGTTATGATATAGGACTGGTTTGTGTGATTTGGACGGGGCCTCGGGGGTCCCGGGTGTGTTTTGGGGTGGTTTCGGATCATTTCGGGCTGTGTTATTGCTGCAGATTTTTGTTTTTGGTTTCCTTCTTCGCGATCGCGAATGGAGTCCCACGATCCCGAAGAGGAAGGTGGGAGGCTGCTGGATTTGGCCTTTGCGAACGCGTAGTGGAGGTCGCGAACACGGAGGGGTGGGCTGAGTTGTCTACGCGAACGCGAATGGGCGATCGCGAACGCATAGAAGAAAAGAGGGGAGCTGGGCCTGAGGTCGTTGGCCTGCGCGAACACGAAGCCTGGTACGCGAACGCGTAGGGTCTGGGAAGCTGACCTTCGCGAACGCGAGCACCGCGCCGCGAACGCGATGAAGAAATTTGGGGCTGAAGCAGGTTGTGCTTCACGAACGCGAGGGCATTTCCGCGTTCGCGAAGAAGGGTGGACCTGGGCTGGGTAGAATGTTTAAAAACGGGGTTTGAGTTCATTTCACCCATTTTTCACTCGGCTTGGGCGATTTTTGGAGCTTTTGAAGAGGGGGCTTCGTCATATATCATGAGGTAAGTGATTTCTTCTAGTTATGGGTTAAATACATGGTTTATACACGGATTTAAGCATGGAAGTTAGTGGAAAACTTGGGGTTTAGGGAAAAACCTATAAAATTGGTATTTTTGGATTTTGACTACGAATTTGGGCATGAAATTAAGAGTAAATTATATATTTGAGTTCGTGAGGTTGTGGGTAAATTTTATCCTTGAAAAATTTCGGAATCCGGGCCCGTGGGCCCGAGGGCGATTTTGTCAACTTTTCAATCGGTGTTAGGAGTTGTTATAAATTGGATTATAATGAGTAGTTGATCTCATATTAATGGGTTTACATAATTATTGGCTAGTGTTGGAGCATTTTGCATTGATTTGAGTCTTCGGAAGGGCGTGGATTGCCGGTTATGGAACTTCGGAGCGAGGTGAGTCTCCTTTCTAACCTTGTAAGAGGGAATTGTCCCCATAGGTGAATTAATTAGATATGTGCTGCTATTTGCGGGGGCTACGTACGCACGAGGTGACGAGAGTCCATGCGTAGCTACTATTATGCTTATGTCCGGGTAGTCTAGGACCCAAAAGCATGCTTTACTTGTAATACTTGTAACCTTATTGTTAGTTTAAATTGCTTAAATCATATCGAAGTGGCAAATGACTTTCTAAAAGAGTTAAACTTCATTTCTTGACTTGTAGAAGAGAAATTTACACCTCCTTGAATAATAGTCTTGATTGACTGTTAAAATGTGTGTTTCTATGTGTACCAGCGCCGCATGTATGATTCGCGAGCAGGGTGATTGCTTATTTATATTTGACCGCATCGCATGTATGATTCGCGCGCGGGGTAATAGATGCATCTATGGTTCGCGCCATTCGACCCTTTGGCAGTGCACAATTTAAATACTGTTGGATCGGGTCGTACGACCTGGGCATGATTTGCGCATGCTTGTAATGTTTGCCTTGAGATTTATGAATGTTGATATTCGTTCTCCCTGGCCTGAGATAAATGTATAAATGATCAAAAGGAATCTGGAAATTTCCTATAAAAGAAAGAATTATTTATTTGCTTTATTCTATTGAGTTGCAACCATGTTTATAAAATCTTTGATTTATTATATTATTGGCATATTATTATTGGACCACTAGTAAGTGTCGAAGTCGACCTCTCGTCTCTACTTCTTCGAGATTAAACGGGATACTTACTGAGTACATGTTGTCTTCGTACTCATGCTACACTTGATGTGCATTTTTGTTGCACAGGCACATGTATCTCTAGTGGCCTAGTGGGCGTAGCAGCATGGATGATACGGAGACTAGGTGAGCTGCATTCCTCGAGGCGACCCGCAGCCAGTATAGTCTCTTTCAGTGTATTGTAATTACTTTCTATCCAATTTGTATTCCGGATAGTTATTGTACTTTATTTGATTTCTTAGTGATTGCTCATGCACTTGTGACACCGGGTTCTGGGATGATTAAGGGATTATTTAATATTAAGTTTGTTAAAAAAAGAAATTACAAGTAAATTGGTGTTGGCTTGCCTGACAATGGTGTCCGGCGCCATCACGACCCTTAGTGGATTTTGGGTCGTGACATTCTGGCCCAGGGTTTCCGCACCTGCGGCCATTTCATCGCACTTGCGGACCCGCACCTGCGATCGCAGGTGCGCATCTGCGTATTTCATTAATTGCAATGGGCTGCACCTGCGCTTCTTTTACCAGACCTGCGGTCTCGCAGGTGCCTTCAACCCCTCGCACTTGCGTATTCTGGTCTCCAAGCGCCTGGTCACATCTGCGGCTCTTCCATCGCTTCTGTGATCACGCACCTGTGGTCCCCAAACCGCAGGTGCGGTTATGACAGATCTTCAACACCTGAAGCTGCTTCCAAACCTTATAATTTTCTTCCGTCAACCTTCCGAAATCATCCCAAGGCCCCCGGGACCTCAACCAAAAATACGAACAAGTCATATACCACTATTCAAACTTGTACCAATCCTCGGAACACTCAATCACCCTCGGATTCAAGCCTAAGGATTTCCAAAACTTTGAATTTCCGCTTTTGATCAAAAAGTCTATCAAACCTCGTCCGAATTATCTGAAATTTTGCACACACGTCCCAATGACACGACGGACCTACTCCAACTTCCGGAATTCCATTCCGACCCCGATATCAAAATCTCACTATCGAGCCTAATTAAGCTACGGACCTTCAAAACACAATCCGAACACGCCCCTAAGCTCGAAATCACCCAACGGAGCTAACGGAACCAACGGAATTCCATTCCGAGGCCGTCCTTACACTTCTCCGACTACGGTCCAAATTCTAAGGCTAAAACTCTCATTTAGGGACTAAGTGTCCCAAAACACTCCGAAACACAAAACGAATCCTCCCGACAACTCACAATAGCAGAAACAAACACGGGGAATGCAGTTAATAGGGAAACGGGGCGTTAATTCTTAAAACGACTGGCCGGGTCGTTACATTCACCAATCGGGGGACTGACCCGAGCAGCTTGTTCCCTGCATCTGAGCCCAAACTCCTTAAAACTTTCCTCCGGTTTCTTTTCCATCTTAGATAGGGAGGAGCGGTCTGGGATAATATCTAGATTGTACTGAAAGTGTCGAACAAAATCTTGAGCCATGTCATCCCATGCATGCCACTTATTGACATCTTGACGAGTATACAATTCCAAGGTTGCCCCACTCAAACTCTCACTGGAATACGCCATCAATAACTCATCTTTCCCGCCAACACTTCTCATGTCACTGCAATAACCCCTCATATGGGCTACTGGATCTCCACGCCCGTCATCTAAGTTAAACTTTGGCATTTTAAACCCCGCAGACAGATGAACATCAGGGAACATACACAAGTCATTGTAAGACATGTTAATCTGATTTCTCTTCCCTTGCATGCTCTATAAGGACTGTTCTATACCTTTCAGCTTCCTGGATATCTCATTTCACCCTTCTTTTCCTGTGGACTTTTTATTTTCAACCTGAGGCTCATTCCGAAAGTTATGATTGTATGAGTCAGGGACCTTGTGGGCAACCTCTGAGGGGTAATATCGGGCATCATGAGTTTTGAGTGGGTGTTTATTGTTGGATTTATGAAGGAAAGATTGTTGAGAAGTTGTGATCATGGGGATAGTGGATATGACAGGAGGGCAATTTTTGGGAAAGGTAGTTGGAGGAAGAGTGGTGGAGCTACTAGGGTGGTTGGGAAAGCTGTGATAAGCGGGAGAATCTGGAGAGTATGGGTGATCATCTGGCACTATGACCGGAGATTGGGTAAGAGCAGCATCTAGGAAGCTAGGTGGTGGCGGGGCTGGTGCCTTCCCAGTCATCCAAGCCTGATACATGTCCGCCATGCGTTGTCTTAACATCCTTATCTCTTCAACCAACCCAGTGTCATGTTCAACCAATTGCTTTCGGGCACCAGTATCAACCAACTCAATTTTGTTGTTGTCTGCCATTGCCTTTCGACTTTATTTGGAGGAAAGAGTTACCAGTTTAAGAACCACAAACCAACCACCCTTCTACTATAATGAAGATAACAAAGAGGAACCAAAAGAAGTCATCATGTTAGCGTATGGGCATTTAACATAAGATAATCTCACATTATGTGCAATGCACCTAGTCACAGTTATCAGTTCTAAAATGACTTCGAGGGTACGAAGGTCATATGGCAACATCCCAATTTCACTCTTCTTGCCCCGTTTCCTTCTTCAATTTCCTTTCTAGCACCGCTTGGTTTTTCATCCCCCTCTTTTCTTTCTGATTATCGCTCTTTTCTTTTCTCTCATTTCTCACGTCCCACAACTTCATTTTTTTTTCTTTCTTTTTCTCTTTTTTTTTGTTTTTTTAATGATGAATCGATCAAACCCTGTAGGTTTCCTACGTATCATGTCCCTCATGAATCAGATCAAGCGTAGTTCTGGAAATGTAATAGACTAAAAATAAAATCTTTTGGATTTTCATTTATAAATTTTGGTTTTCAAATATATCATAGGAAGTATGATAATGAGATACTCGACAAACTCAACTATACTGCGACAAACTCTGACACCAACTAAAAGAATCAGTACAACTGGACACGACTATAAAGTACAAGACAACATTAAAAAAACAGACTCAAAACATAAAAAAATCTCCGTAAGCAGCTCCTAAATGCAGTGATCCTGACTGGATGGTCCTGGGGCGTCTATCATGCTCAAGCTATGGTAGGTAGATCCACACCTGTATGAGAAAAATAAGACCAAATAGAGCCAAAGACTTAGAATACTATGTGAGACAATAACACTCCCTATTGGACACATGCAAGATATGATTGTGGCTATTTTCCTAAAATTAACCTACGTGGCTTATTAGCGCAAACTCATCAAAGGTGACCTCATAGACATGGAAATACCTCACTAAAGCTTATGTAAATTCAAACTCCCAATAATCATGGCCCAAAATTAATTTGAAAAAACGACCCATTTTGCAAGAATGGCCGATGTGGCCAGAAGTGGCTAAAGATGCAAACATAAAAAAGGACGAACCTTAAAGTAATATGACACCTGGTTGTGGACTCAATATTCTAAGACATGGGTCATTGAACCACTTTTGCGCAAATGACCCCATTTTTGCAAGAATGGACGATGTGGCCAAAAGTGGCTAGACATGCAAGATTTGGCTAAGACCCCGCGAAGCCAAAAACCTAAGACTCACTAGGAAGACCGGACCCTCTGTGGGCTGCCTACATATCATGCACTGAAAGACGAGAATCAGGTATGCGTAGTTCGGGAAGATTGGATACGGGCAAGAATTAAAAAAAACCACTGATTTGGAGAAAACATATTTTTGTCTTTTTTTTTTGAAAAATAATGGGAAAGTGCAAAATCTTTTTGGATTTTTCATTTTTTTTGTCTTTTTCTTACAAAAATATGAAAGAAAAACATAACTGGGCCCTACTTGCTTTATTTCACACTTCATCCTCTATTCTCTCTCATTTACCCTCAACCATCATTGGTCCGCCAAATGACCCTTTTTACATTTGAAGAATGGAACATGTAGCACATAAGATGCATCAGGATGGTCTTTTATTTTTGGGGCACCTGTCCTAGATGGACCCAACCCCTGTGTTTAGTCCCCAAAGTCAAATGCACATGATGCAAACAACGTTCCTACTATTCAGCATGAGGTTATGTCATTCTATTTTTAAACCTGGGGTTGTGTTCTAGACCTGGCTTACCCGAGCGGACAGCTCGACCCGAGGTGGGGGCAACGTACCGGGAGCACGAAAGTCTACCCGGCCTTGTTGCTTACCCAAGCCTCGTTCTATTTGGTATGACTTCTAACAAAAAAAGTGGGCCACGCGTACGTGTGCACCATATTTTTAGAAGACTCAGAAGGGAGGCATAAAAAGATATTTTAATACAGTTCAAATAATATCAAAGCGGTAAATAAACAACAATTAGCACATTAGATCCACAAAATACAGTAATATCAACAAACAATAAAGCCAAGTAAAAATCACATTAACAAGCTCGAATTCTTGAACCCTGAATCAGAGATTCTGGGTTCTTGTCCCCAGCAGAGTCGCCAGAGCTGTCACACCTCCTTTTTCCCGAAGGGAATATAAGGGAGTTTTTCCAATTAAAGTGACAATAATCGAAATGGGATTATTTATTTTATTCAGAGTCGCCACTTGGAATAATTTATGGTGTCCCAAGTCACCGATTTATTTTAAATCCCAAATCGAGGAAGTTTGACTCTATTTTACAGTCCGCGAAACACAGAAATCCAGGTAAGGAATTCTGTTAACCCGGGAGAAGGTGTTAGGCATTTCCGGGTTCCATGGTTTTAGCATGGTCTCTTTAATCATACCTAGCTTAGTTAAATTGTTTAATTACTCGTTTTGGAACCTATGTACATTTACCTGTTACCGCTTTTAATTGCTTGATTATTCATAATTATGTAGTTATCTTAAAGTGAGTCACGTGTACGTGTACTCATTTCGTTTGGCGCGTCAAAAATCATGTCATGCGTACGTGTCCAAAATTAATCACACTTTATTAATATTAAGAAAGTTTAGCCGAAGTTGCGCGAACGCATACCTCGATTTATTTTTAGAATCATAATTATGTCACGCGAACGTGTACACAATCACGATGATAGGTTAAACCGCACCTAAAGCATTTCCTACGAAGCTAAACCCATAAAGTTTATATCCTAAATCTGCCTTTAGATTATATAAATCTTTTGTATCAATTCAAAAGATTAATCTTTTGGGCTCAGCTCACACAGACGCAGTCATATTTCATTAAATTTCTTCATACCGTTGAAAAGAACAAAACTAAAGCAGATTAATGGCTATTTTTTTTAATTATTCTCTTTGCCTGAACAGTGTGATATGGGTGCTGGTACTTTGTATAGAATCTTCAAACTACAACAAAAATTAGCTAAAATCAACAACAGAAACTGAAATGGGTTCTCACATTCATTTGGCTTTATTTAAGCCTAAATCCCACACTCATCCAGTGTTCCAAAACAAGTTATACTTGTTCAAATCCAAAGGATTGAATCACGAACTGCAACAGAGAAAATAAAAAAAAACTAGAATATTAGCATCCAAACAACAGATCCAAATAAATCAGTATGCAACAAGAACATCATTTCAACTTAAAACATTCATAAATTGACAAAATTTGTCATGGAAACAAAAGCAGCAGAAATTAAGAAGAGGGAAACGGAACCTCTCATTAAATGACCAACCAGAGCCGACGTACAAGAAATCCGAACAGAAACTTTATCGGACCAAAGCTCGGACCTCGACGGAACCACCGCACGGATCTTCGGACTGGTTCTCCAACAGAATCTCGAACCTCAGTTTCCCGTTTCCTACTCTGTTTTTCTATTACTGTGCGTGTGTTTGAGGGTAATTTATAAATCCTAGATTTGACGACCCAGCTGGATTTGGTGTTCTATGGCATTTTTAGGTAGTATTGTTTGAACTAAGTTTATTTTGGAGTTTGGTGGCTATGAAGTTTTGGAGAGGAGTGACGACTATTGCAGCTCATTTTCCGGCGAGCTGGGTGGCGTCTAGCGGCAACTGTTGGTTTGGTGATTGAGAGGTGAAGGAGATGAGGGGTCGCTGGTTGGTTGTTCTAGTGAGGGGTGTGGGAGGTAGTGTAGGGTGAAGGAGATGAGGGCTTTGGCTGGTTCTTCTCCGGCGAGTTGCAGTGGTGAGGGAGGAGAGGTCTTGGAGATGAGTGTTGAAGAAGAAGATCCACGCCTGTTCAAGGGTGTCTCCCGTTGTCTTTTTTTTCCGCCTCAGGTCTGTAGGGTTATGGAAAAGTTAAAGATGGGGTAATGGGCTAAGGTTATTTGGGCTAAGGTTATTTGGGGCTAGGGGTAATTGGGTTGGTCCAAAATTGCTTAATAAAATTAAAAAATGAGACTAGTTTTGGGGTTGTTCAAACTCTTTTAGCTAAAATCCCAAATATTATTCTAAAAATTATAATGTATTTATAAAATATAAAAATCACTCTTAGTTAAGATAAAACTAAATACTAAAAGTGAAACTATTTTTGTTTATTTTTAATTTTATGAAAGGTAAATAAACTAAAAGTAACTAAATAAAATATCAATTAGCTAAATAAGAGAAAATATTTTTGTAATTTTTCATTTTGTGATAAAATAAAGTAAAAGGGTCAAAACTAGTTAAAATACGATATTAGACCTAAACTAAATATTTAAACTAAAATGTATAAAATCTCGGGGAAGGTCAAAAATTACATGTCTACACCTCTTAGAAGGTCTACACGAGAACATCATGTATCAACTAGATTAAATCTAATGGTACAAGATGATGCATCAAATGAGGTTGATCATAATGATGATGACCCTAGGACCTATGAAGAGGCTATACAAAGTTCTATTATGAGAAATGGCAAAAGGCCATGGAATCCTAAATGGAATCAATGAAGGAAAATAAAGTATGGACTTTAGTTGAATCTTCAAAGGATATAAAACCTATAGGTTGTAAATGGGTTTTTAAGAAAAAGATTGGAGCAGACGGAAATGTGGAGACCTACAAAGCCCGTCTTGTTGCCAAGGGATATCGTCAGAAAGAAGGAGTCGACTATGAAGAGACTTTCTCTCTCGTAGCAATGCTCAAATTAATTTGGATTTTTCTTGCTATAGCAGCATACTATGATAATGAAATATGGCAAATGGATATGAAAACAGCTTTCCTTAATGGTGAGCTAGAAGAGGATGTGTACATGACACAACCTGAAGGTTTCAAATCTTCTTCTGATCATAATAAAATTTACAAGCTACAAAGATCCATTTGTGGACTAAAGCAAACTTCTCAAAGTTAGAATATTCTCTTTAACAAGACAATTGAAAAGTACAATTTTGTTAGATGCAAAGAAGAACCTTGTGTGTACAAAAAGGTTAGTGGGAGCACAACTATATTCGTAGTATTGTATGTTGATGATATATTGCTCATAGGGAATGACATACCGGCATTGCAAAGTACCAAGATTTGGCTATCTGAACAGTTTTCCATGAAAGACTTGGGAGAAGCAGCTTATATATTAGGAATAAAGATCTATAGAGATAGATCGAGGAAACTGCTTGGACTTTTCCAGTCTTTGTACATTGATACCATTTTGAAAAGGTATAACATGGATAATTCCAAAAGAGGCTATCTACAGATAGGCACTGGAATTACTCTCAGTAGGGAAGATTGTCCTAAAACACCTGAAGAGAGAGAACGCATGAGTAGGTTCCCATACGCTAGTGCAGTGGGCGCTATCATGTATACCATGACATGTACACGTCCTGATGTGGCTTATGCACTTAGAGTGACTAGCTGATATCAGGCAAACCCCGGTGAGGAACATTAGAAGGTGGTGCAGACCATTCTTAATTACTTAAGAAGGACGAAAGACCAATTCCTCATCTATGGAGATTTTGAGTTGGAAAAGTTCCAAACAAGCTACAGTAGCTGATTCAGTGACTTAAGCAGAGTATATAGCAACTAGTGAAGTTGCTAAGGAAGCTGTATGGATGAAAAAGTTCCTAACTGAACTTGGTGTGGTTCCTTTAATAAAAGGTGCAATTCCATTGTTGTATGACAGCACTGGAGCCATTGCTCAAGCAAAAGAACCAAGATCACACCAAAAATCCAAACACATTCTGCGAAGGTATCACTTGATAAGAGAGATCATTGAACGTGGAGACGTCGAGATTCAAAAGGTTGATGAAAAGGAAAATGCTGTAGACCCATTCATTAAAGCTCTTGGCGCAAAGGAGTTTGACAAGCACAAGTGGAAATTGAGAATGAAGTACAAGAGCGATTGGCTCTAGTGCAAGTGGGAGATTGTTAGGGATATAAATATGCCCTAGATCCAGTCTCACATTTGATGATTTGAACGTATTTTTGTGAAGTATTTGATATAAAAATATATATGGCATTTGATATTCTTTTATCGTTGTTATTAGTTGCTTGATTAATATAATAAGGTCCTTGATTAAATTTTGAGAGTTGACATTGTGATGGAGATCATGATAATGAGAGTGAAGTTTCTTATAGTTTAATCTAAATTTGTTCTTAATCGTAGGAATATTAATTTGGACATTAGTAATTCGGTTATATTGATATTTATGTGATCGTCTTTATGGGATAAAGATTAGTTGATCTCATTAACTAAATCACATAGATAGATGATGCATATAGAGATATGATCATTGAACCAACTCTTGGATAATTCCTAATGGTTAGAATTACCATAAACTATCAATAGGATATTCTCTTGAAGAATGTGATGTAAAAATTTCCTTTGACCTAAGATCGTCATAGTAATTGACAAGTTATTTATTGTGCTTTGATATTAGACACCTATGGGGCGACAGTTGAAAGGATATTGGGTACGATTAAATACTTGTAGAATTAGTGATTGATCAAGATGGAATCTGTTAACTCTTGGTAATGAGTTTAAACTCCATGTTGTCATGCATTATAAACGACCAAACTAAGACCTTGGCCAGGGCAATTGAATGAAACAAGAAAAGAGTTTCTTAGGTCATTCAATGGTCAATTATATTTGACATGAACACATAGTTGGTCGCCTATTAGGATTTGACAGTTGAACCATATCCTAGGGTGACCCAGAGCTATAAAGATTAGTTGATCTCATTAACTAAATCACATAGATAGATGATGCATATAGAGATATGATCATTGAACCGACTCATTGGATAATTCCTAATGGTTAGAATTATCATAAACTGTCAATAGGATATTCTCTTGAAGAATGTGATGTAAAAATTTCCTTTGACCTGAGATCGTCATAGTAATTGACAAGTTATTTATTGTGCTTTGATATTAGAAACCTATGGCCCTAGGGCGACAGTTGAAAGGATATTGGGTACGATTAAATACTTGTAGAATTAGTGATTGATCAAGATAGAATCTGTCAACTCTTGGTAATGGGTTTAAACTCCATGTTGTCATGCATTATACACGACCAAACTAAGACCTTGGCCAGGGCAATTGAATGAAAGAAGAAAAGAGTTTCTTAGGTCATTCAATGGTCGATTATATTTGACATGAACACATAGTTGGTCGCCTATTAGGATTTGACAGTTGAACCATATCCTAGGGTGACCCAGAGCTATAAGGACAGAAGAAATTACTACATTATTCTTCTACTGGTTCTTAAGAGTAAATTGTATACTTCATTCTATCCGTTCGTTAAGGAGTGTTGCTAGAGGATTAATTATTTTATTGTTTGGTAATTAAATTAAAAAAATTAATTAGTCAAACAAATTTAGTTATTAGTCCAAATGAAATATTATTATATTCTTTTCTAGCACTGAGGATATAATTAATATTGTGAAAAAATTGAAGTTTTCTATTTTGAATAGAAAATTAATTATATCTCTTGGTTTTATATATATATATATATATATATATATATTAACACTTATTTTTATATAAAATATGTTATATAAAATATTCATAAAGACTTGTCTTTAAAATTGGATTAACTGAAAGTCCATAAGGACATTACGTTAAAGTCCATAATTGGACGAGTCGGCTATTTAAACCCATTAAGAATGGGATTTTTTTTGTTTGTAATTAAATAGTAATAAGACTTTTATAATCCAATTTGGTATTGGATTTTATGGAAAGTCCATAAAGTTCGGCAGTAACGAAATCTCCATAAGAAATTTCATGAAGTTTATTTTGGAATAAACTTTTACCCTAAGTAAATCATTACCTCAACCAAATAGGAAAAGGGTTTATCGGTGATACTATATAAAATAGGAAAAGGATTTATAGGTGATACTATATAAAGGGTGATGGAGAAAATACAATTACAAGAAACTAATTTGAGTTGATATTTTTGAGAAAATTTCAGCACAAGTTTTTCGTTCAATTTGTTAGCGGGTTGTTATCAATCTGTATTGCTGTAAATAAATAAAACAGTAATCTTTCTGAAAAATAGAAACATAAAGTTAGTAGAAACAAATTCTGAAAACAGTATTCGAACTTCAAAAATAATTTTTGAAACGTTGTAGGAACAAATCGAGCCCACTGAATACACAGTGTGTCCTTAAGGAAATTATTCCCCTCAAGTACCCGAGGGTTTGGAATATATCCTCCCAGGATAGAACGATTTAACTCACCGGAGTATTGGTACCAAAAACGCCGATGAACAGCGAACCACTCGATGGCAGCAAAACACACTGGAATTTTAGTGCAAAAGAAGAAGAAGAAGATAATCAGAAAATTTCGTAAGTAAATATTCTGGGATTTGAAGGAATATTTATAGCCAACTTGGTGCTGTTTCTGAAGAGGTTTGCAACCTTTCAGAACAGCCATAGCTGTTAGAACAGGTGTGACACTGTTTCAGAACAGCCATGGCTGTTCAAAATATTGCGGGAAATATAAAGCGGATTTAAAATAATCCGGGAAAGAAAAACGGGCCGGACCGGACTGGGTCGCGGGTTATTTCGGATTGAATTTTCTTTAATTAATTTAATTAATTAATTAAATATTTTAAAAAATTTTTGTCCAAAAAGATTAATCAATCAATCTTTGACAAATCCAAATCCGAATCCGAATCCGAATCCGAATCCGAAGCCGAAGCCGAAGCCGAAGCCGAAGCCGAGCCGAGCGAGCGACGATGGCGACGGCACGAGGCTTGCCTTCTTCTTAGCTCTTTAAGAGCTAAAAGATGAGCTTCTCTTTATATACACAAAGATTTTCTTTCCTTCTACCAATGAGGGACAAAGTGCATAA